AAACCCCTCAGCAGCAGTTGTCACAGAATATCCCCCCACTACTCAGTAATTTGGAGAAATACCATCTCCTTGAAATGAAGCTATGCTGGAAGCATAACACAGCAATTGCCTAAAATAGGGTTTTCTGCACAGCACTTACAGGAAAAGAAGGAATGTGACAGGCCAGTGCGGGGCTACTGGGTGGGAAGGGACCAGAGACCTCTTCTCTGCTGTCACTCACCCTCTGCATTACCTTATCTCCTCTATCAAGCTCCATCTAACTAATTATTAAGACATTTCTGCCATCTCCCCTTTTGCTGAAGGTGGCTCCAGAACCTCTCTGTTCCATACTTGGAGAATGTCCTCTGGTTTCCAGCTTAAACCCATCCGTGGCTAGTTTATAAATACTTGTGTTCTGGCCAGAACTGGGGTTCAAACTGATTCAAACCCATTGAAATTAATGAGGTTTTTTCCCCATTGACTTCAACGAGCCTTGAATTAAGGCCCTGTGTGTGGACAAAAAGGTTTAGGGCAGTTTTTGTAAAAGGAGAGTTTTATCCTGTTGATCTTGGCCTCCCTCCTCAGCCTGCTGTGAACTGTCTGCCTTATTTTAATGCTGTATTCTCATCCTGCGCTAGTGAAAACTCCTATTGAAATCCAGGACAGTCTTGCCAAGTTGTTATTAATTACTGTGGTTCTCAAGGCTCAGTCCTGCAAACTGATCTGCATGAGCTCAGAGGTTTCTCATCAAGGATCTCCTTTCAGGATCTGGTCTCTAGGGCTCCAAAACACCAAAGGGACTGATCCAGTCTCATTCAGCTCCGCCTGCCGCCCCGGTGCCACTGCAACCCAAAGGAGCACGTAAGCCCAGCGGTGCTGTTTTCCTTGGAAGGCTGGGGGCCAGCAGGGAAAGAGTCCTGTACAGGCAGCCTTGCCTTGAAACAGAGCTTTCCATGCCAAAATAACCAGGCTTTTTGCTCGTCAGCTGAAGCACATTTGCTGTGCTGGAGGAGGGCACAGATGAGCTCTGCTGCTGAGGATGAAGGGAAGAGGCTGAGGGAGGGAGCAAATGCTGTTCAATTTTACTTCTGTGGCTGGAGCACAGAGTATTTCTTATCCTGAGAAATGGCAAGATGTCACGTGAGCTCAGAAGCATATCGATACGTGGGAAATTCATTGTATTTCCAGCACTGGGAAATCCTTCTTTTATTACAAAATGGGATGTGGATTACTTTGCCCTGCCTTCATTACTGAACCTAGTGTGCAGTGGTGCCAAGACCACATTAAAAGCAAGTTCTGGATGCATTTGTGTTGTTCATTTTAGCTGAATAGAGGAAAAAGCTGGAAAAAGCTGCTTTGCAGTGGAAACAGAAAAATCTCAACTGCTTATTTAAAAGTTACAAGCTCTTCAATTAGACCACAGGCATTTTATAAGGCAAGCAGGTCAGGCCGAGCTTTATTCCCTGAACCTGAAATGTCAAAATAGTCATGTTAGGTATTTGCACAGAGTTATGGAGGATGAGTTTAGATCTCACTAATCTAGCCAGTCAGATGCCTGTAAAAATAAATAAGAACCTAAAAAAGAATGACATCAGCCATAACTGCTTATTCTGCTCTGGATTTGGCAGGTAAAAATCAGAAAGAAACCAACTGCATTATTCTGCCTGGGCTCTGCGCCTATTTCCCATCATGTAGGGAGCCAGGCCAAATCCTTGACACAATAGCAATTTCTGCTCAATGCCAACTATTCCCAGCCTGGCAGTGTGAATGCAGAGCCGTCTCCTGAGGTCACGGAACTGTAATGGCATCCAAACTGCAACAAACATCCCTGCTGCAGGAGGTGAAACGGCTGTTGCATGTGAGACCATTTGTACCAAGTCACCAATTCAGACACAAGCTGTCAGAAGACAAGTTACAGTGACAACAGACAAGGGCACCCTTAATGGAGTCACAGCTCATGCCAAGCCATGTGTAACACATGGAGCTGTGGTCTCCAGCGAGCCTGGAAAACAACTGGGTCAGGAGAACTGCTAAACACTCCAATACCAGTTATCTGTGCGAGCTATGACATAGCAACTGTCACTCATGTTAAGTGACAAGTGACTTCTATTTAGATGTGCTCCACTCAGTCAGTGCCATGATAACAGAAACACTTTATTGCACTACATCCTTCCACATCCCACAGGGACAGGGACATCTGACAATGGCACAGTAAAGAGTTTAGCTGCTAGACTGGTGTTCACTGCAAGCACAGAGAGCTTTTCCTCACCTTTATGGTTGACCATGTCATCTATATTGAACAGTGGCTACAATGACACTGGCTTAATAACATACACCCATTGAGATGAACAAGCTAATAAAATGTATTAATGTATTTAACAGCCACTAACCAGCATGCCCTGCATGTGTAAAGGGAGACCCTTGTCTTCATGCTAGAGAGTCACAGCAATAGAGATGAACTTGCTCAGCTGGGAAGATGCCAAACCCTTTGGAAGTAAGGCAAATTAAAGTGCCCTTAAAGTTTGTTGTGGCACAGGCTATGATGTCCTCAGAGGAATGCGAATGTGCTGCAGCATTCAAAGGCAAAATGCAACACTGCTGAGCACCGACATCCACAACACATGTGGGCACACACTGGCAGTAGTAACTACAGGGATTGTGCAAGGTCAGACCTCTCCTTGGTCCTGCTCAGGGTCACAGTGCCTCCACCCTCCCAACAGCTCATTCCTGACTGACAGCCATAGGGGTTAAGAGGCTCTGTTGCAGGGAGGCAGGCAAGCCACAGCAGGACAGGGCAGCTGCTACTTTGGGGAGCGTTGCCATCTATTTTTCTATTCTGACATCATTGGTGCTCATTTCTCATGCACATTTTAAACACCATTTTAAGGAGCAGGGTCTCTGAAATGCTGCTTCGGACAACCTGCTCTTCTCAGCCACTGGTACCAAGGTCTCTGGTGGTCTTCAGCAAAGCTGCTCACATGAATCCCACTGCAAAAGCTATACTCCTTCCCCTGTCTCCACAGTTGCCTCACTGTCCTTGTGCCCTCCACTCTAAACCAACAAGGTAATGCCAGAGCTAGCACGTGCTAGACCATCACAATTAAACATAACTAACGACAGGCTGTACAGCCAGCGGCACAACACACTCTGATCTCTGATTCACATCCCTCTGAATAGCAGTATCTGTACAGCCTGGACAGAGGGGAAATCAGGTTGTTCTCCATGTATCCTGGCCCTCACAGCAGCAGTTTGGACGGTTTCTGACATCTCATGGCCTAGCACCAAGCTAGCAAGAGACGAAATATCCCCATCTCTCTCTCTTACTAAGGGATGCAATCTGTATTCTCCTGCAGTCAGAAGAGAAATAAGAGTTCTTATTGCTTTATGGAAAGTGGGTTGAAAGTTATCCAACTGTTTCCAAATTACTTTAAGAAAAACCCACAGTAGCAGCTCCAGCGAGGAGCTCCAGCGAGGAGACATCAGCATCAGCAGAAAGCTTCTGCTGCCTGGGGGAAGAGCATGTGCTACCCAGCCACAGAGACTCCTAGTCAGACAGCTCCATCTCACACGTGGGCAGAGTGACTGCTCCTCAGCTCTGTGAGCAGGTTAGCAGCACCAGAACAAATGCTAAATGCATGGTATGACCCCACAGTACCTGTACTGTCATTCGGGGTAGCCTCACCCACAGGCATAGAAGGGTAGGAGCTTGCACACAGGGGAACAGTGAGCAGCAGCGAGAGTATTACACTTCATGGCAAAACCATCTCCCACTGATCGAGGGGAGAGCTCCGGCGTGCCACTGAGCACAGATGCTAGCCCAGACAGGCATGCATGAGGCTATAGCCCACACCGAGAGACCATAATCTGCTGCACGGCAGAAGAGAATGTCTGGGCTGCTCCCATCTCTCGCCTCCAGGATGCAGTATCTGCAGTGTCCTCTGCCCCCTATGAGGAAGCTCCTGTCCTCTGATCTTCCTGCTCCGCTGAGTTAGATGGGAAAGGATTCCCAACACCAAACAAGCCTTAGGCAGACAGCCAGGTTTCCAAGCCCCTTGCCGAAGGGGAGACTGCTTTCTGTTTTTCTAAATGCTTTGTGATCTTGCACTTGCAAGGCTTCTGGAGGCTTTTTCCTCCCACTGCACATTAGCAATTCATGGAGTGGTTTCTACAGGTCTGAAAGGGAACAGGCAGACAAGCCTTTAACATTTGGAGAGATGGAGGGAGGAACTGCAGAAACTTCCCCGAGAGACCACCATTAACCCCAGAGCAATAGGGTCAATAGCCCACCGCACTCCCCAGAGCTGGCACAGCCACAGGGAGTGAAGATGGTCACAAGTAAAAGCCAGCATCTCCCAAGGACGAGCTGTGCATTTCCCAAAGCCCCCCAGACCTCAGGTAAGTCACTTCTCTTTCCCAGTTTCCCTCCCTGTAAAGTGGTGATAAAACTTCACAGGAAGCTCAATTCATTCAAACACAACAGCAAAGGTTCTCTGTAAATATGCAAATCCACAAATAAACCAGTATTTGTAGGAGAGGAGAAACCACGGGTGGGGCTGAAAACATCCCGAATTTGAAGCCTCCCCCAGTAACCCTGCAGTTTCCTGGGAATGGGCTGTTCGGATACACACACTGCTCTTGTGATGTGGATGCTGTTCAACAGCCTAATACTCTTATTTCTAAATTGACTGGATACAAACCCATCTGTATTCATGAAAACCTGCAAGTCCCCAACCCCCCGCACATCCAAACAGAAGCCATTTCAAACACTGTGCTGTATTTAGAAGGCTGCTTTGAAAATCTGGCTCTTAGAATCACCTTTGGTTGCTAAATAAACTTGCCTGGAGATTAACCACAGCCCACAGAAAATAGTTACCAAACAGTTTTACGACTCTGAGCAGAAATGGGTGTTGGTGAAGAAGCACGCTCGGGTTGTTTCACTGAAGTCAAAATGTAAAGAAAATACAATATAAGCTCTGTAAGCAGATTCTTCATGGTAAATAAATATGCAGGGATGCAGGGAATGCTAACTGATCATTTTTAGAGCATTTATTTTTGGCAGGATAAACACTTTCAGACCCCAAAGCAACTTCTCTGTGTGTACAGAATCTCCAACTGTGAAAAGAAAACAAATAGCAGCGTTTCATTTGTTGTAATCAGGACTTTTTTTCATGACTGTTTAGAATAAAGCTGGATCACATTTGGAGTGCCTTGGAAATTCATTGTTTAGGCATTAGTCTCCAGTGGTAAACATCCTACAATATGTGTATAATACAGCAACTATTTTTGTACTTCAAAGTCTTTCCTCGTAATTTGGGAAAGTGCAGGATACAAACAACCTCTTCTTTGCCCGTCGAGGGAGCGGTGCCTGTATTGCTTGTCTTTACCAAGCAGAGATATCCTTGTTGTTCCGCACTGGGCTCCATCTACTCATGTAGAAACTAGATACAAACACCAGACAGCAAACAGCACTTGAGAAACAGAACTCAAGAAATAGGAGTATCACAAGGGGACTGTACAGGCCAGGAGCCTCATTATTCCCCACTCCTCTGGGCACAGAGGTTCCTTTAAGGCAGGAACTCGCTGTTGACTCTTCAGGAATGAATATCCTACAGATGAGGAAATACGGGGCAACAAGGACAGATGCCCAGCTGGTATGAAAGATCACAGCTCCATGGCCAGTGCCTGACTGCAGTCCCAGCTCCTGGTCCCTCCCTTCTCGGAGGAAGTGACTTTCATCACGTTAGATACAGGAATGGAAAGTTGAGGAGCAGAGTTGAAAAATGAATCTTCTGATTTGGAGCAACCTAGTGGAAATCTGGCTGCTCAACACTTCTGCAAACACCCACCCGAGCTGTCCCACACCGAGTGTCCAAGCAACAACCAGCCAACATTAGTCAACGATCTGGGAAATGCCGCTTGCCAAGGTCACGTAAGTCTGTGGCAGGAGAAGGAGCAGGATCATCTGGCTCTTCTCCTGTTTCTCAGCCACAAAACTTTTTTCCTCCCCTAACAATTACATGTGTGGGTTTCCTTAACAGTTTCTTTTTACATTCCTGTTTAAACAGCACAGGGAAAAGGAAAAGGACACTTGATGTGGAAAATTAGTTTTGGAAATGTTGAGCTGTGTGGATTTGCCAACTTCTGTTCCTCCCGTCAATTCATTGTAGATGCTCTCAGCTCTCACCAAAATGCTATTTTTAGGCTGTACGTCAGATTTCACAACTGAGACTGACAGGAATTTTCTAAAGGCTTTTCACTGAGAATTAAAAACAACGTGGATATTCTGCTTCCCCCTTTGTGCTGCCGGGGCTCCACTACAGCTACTCCAGGGCAAAGCTCCAAAGGGACTCAGCCCTGCAGCAAGTGTCAGGAGATTCCCAGCACAAGGGAGCTGTGCAGGTCTGCTGTATCTAATGAGACACGTGGAGCCTGACAATGCTCTGGGGAGATGCTCTGCAGCAAAACAAAGCAGAAATACAGAGCAGGCGGCTGCTCAGGCACAAGAGCCCCTGGACCTTTACCACTGCTTCTTCCCACTGCTCCGCACTATCCACCAAGTGTGGCCTTTAAAAGAGAAGTGGAGGTGGCACCTTTTGTTACAGCACAACACCAGCAAAGCCTCCGGCAGCAACAGCCGTCTCCACTGCGCCAGCTGCTGAGCACTTGTCATGCTGTTGGACATGCCCATTAAGAAATTATAGTTTCTACATGGTTATTTCCTGAAGCTAACAGGTGTCCGAAGCCAGCTTCCAGCTCTGCTTCCCATCCAAATGTAAGGAACTTGAAGCAGGTTTAACTTTTGGGTTTTTTTTAAAGACTCTGTGCTTTGCTGTGGCTATTTTGCTCAGGCCACGTTCATAGTGACAGCCCTTGCTGAGGGAATGGGGCTGCTGTGAGGACACCTCAACCACACATAAACCAGTGGCTCAACCAGAAAAATACTGCTCTAAGAGACTTCCTATCAAAACGTTGCTGAGCATTTTTATTCACTATCCACATGAATAGTTGAGACTGCCTGTGATGATCATGCACATTGTTCTGAATACTGCAGGACTGCCTAGCCATAAAAGGCTTTGGACAAGTAACCCAGGTAGATTTCAGTTTGCAGATCAATGTGTCTGGATACTCCCAAGAGTTTTCTGGTGCTTCCTGAAGCTGACAGGATTAATTTAGTGATTTGGAAATCTGTTGCCAAGCCAAGTCCCCAGAAGACTGCACAGCAATAGGAAGATTAAAAGCAGATGGTTCAGCAACCAAGGTTTTACAGTTAAACAGACTTAAAATTCTTGGGCTTCATATCATCATCTTCATTCTTTCCTTCAGTTCTGTGTGTGTTAGTATCTTTTGAGCACTTCCATAGGAGGTGAAGCCAAGCACATCATGCTAACAATATGACCTCAAACAAAACACCAAAACCGTTATGTTGGGTTTAACAGGGATTAAGGAAATGTTGATCCTAGCTCAACCAAAGCTCTGTGCAATTAGACCATTTCCAAGTCATTGTTAAATGCCACAAAAGGATGCTAGAATATAAAATATGAAGAGAGAACACTTCTGAAAGTTACCTAACAAACAGGATTTCTCTGTCCAGCCAAGGCTCTCTCCTCTCCTCTCCCACTGCCCTGATACAGCAGCCATACGGCTTTGACCCATATCACGCCAGCCACAGTTCCGTAACTGTTGTGCAAAGCTCTCTGTTTCAGGCTCCCCTTCAGGTAAGCAGGATTTAGACCCAGCCAGTCCAGCTCCAAGCCTCAGCACACTAGGGTGATCTCCTCTTTAGATCTTTTATTCTCTGGTGCTAATCCTGAGTGCTCATGTGAGTAGGACAGAAAATGAGGCATGTCCAAGCAAGAATGTGCCTGGCTCAATCATGAGTGACTTGCTCCAAACTCCCAATTAACATCAGAAATGAAGGGAGGATAAGTGTCTCCCATTTGCCTGCTGGAAACCTTCCCTCTCTGCAGATGTGGCCATTCAAACAATCCCCCAGACTTTCCACATAAAGCCAAGCAAACACCAACACAAACACCAAATACAAACCAAATACACAGAAAATATCCACTGGGCCTTTCTTGCTCTCCTGTATCTCAGTAATCACCTTTGTAACACAGATCCAGGATCCCAACTGACTTTCTGGCCACCCCATGCAGAAGCTGAGTGCCAGCACAGAGCAACCAAGGACATGACAGCCCTTTCTTCATGCTGTGTGCACCGAACAGCCTCAGGATTTGCTTTCTAGAGGTCATTTCAGTTAGCTCTCACAAAGGCACTCAGGGGGACCAAGCAACAACTATTTCTCTCCATGAATGACAAAATGAGCTTTGCTTTTGTGTCCAGAGCACCCTGTGGTCCCAAGGCAGCCTTTCACACGACCAGCTTTGGCGTCCCCGGCTGCCGAGGATGAAGCATGGCACAGATAGGTTTCCACCTTACAGCTCAGGCCCATGTCACTACACTCCCTGCTTCAATTCACAACGCCTGACACTGAAACCTTCAGCCAGAGAACACAACTGGCCTGATTCTCCTCATCCCTGAAAACAGACTTGCAGGAGAATTTCAAACCTACTCCACGTTTCTAGGTGCCATTCTGCATGCTGCAGAGTCCCACTTTACCCCCTCTAAATGCCACTTTGTAGGCAAAAGTTAGTTGCAAGGACAAAAAACCTGCACCTGCAAAAAAAAAAACAAAACAAAAAAAAGCTGAGGAGGCCTGCTTTGAAAAACCAAACCCCAAAATACATTTGGACACATGAATACAGCAGCCAAACCTCAACTTAAATCTTCCATATGAAGTGTAAGGAATCAAATAACCATCCAGAAAAGATGTCTGCAAAATAACTTGGCTCACAGCATTTTCATTTGGGTTAAATTAAAGTAATTGTAAATCTTCAGTGCACAGCACGAGAGCTGCATTCTGTGTAACACTGTATGTACCCCACTAAGCTTCACACTCCACTCAGGCCTACAAAAATCTTTTGAAAACCAGAGTGAGTTGCCTTTCCTTGGGCAACCAACTGCAAAGCTGCAAGAAAGCAGAATAAGCTCTGTGGGTGAACGTTCGCCACTGCAGTTAACCAGAGCTAAAACAGGCAGGGAACAGGAGTGGCAGAAGAAACATTCCTTGGACCGAAGTGGAAAAGCATCATTACACACTGATCTCTTGGAGCTGTGCTAAGCCTCAGCTGTGCATGAATTAGAAGCCAGTGCCAAGTTGACTATCTCACACATCAACATGGTTTATCTAACGATCCATTCATAATGACTTCCAAGTTGTGACTTCCTGGGCATCCTGGAGGTTTAGGGAAGAAGGTGTCCAGCCTCGAAGGCTCCTCACACACAAAGGACTGAGCCTTGCTGGCTGCAGCTCAGCTCTGTGGGGAGCAAGAAACTTTGGACAGCATTTGCCAGGCTGTTTGCTAAATTCAGAGGATCAAGAAAAGCAAATGAGGTAAAAAATCACCTCAGTTCACAACCTGGTTAAATCACTGCTCATCACTACAGATCACATTTTGATAATGTGATCAGAAAACTCAATCCACACATCGGAATGGGAATTTACAGCACGAGGTGTGGTTACTGTGAAAACCATGCTGATTCCTGCTGCTTCTCTCCTCATTTCAGATCATTCTGCCTCCCACATCCTATCTTGACAACCCATAAGGGTACTCACAGAATTGGTATCAGAAAGCATAGAAAGAAGAAGGGTTTCTGCAGACCTTGCCTACCCAGGCTCAAGGATTGTTCCAGCTGGCTGAAATACACACATGTGATGAGACTGCTCAGCCCTTTCCCAGATGCAACAGCACAGCTGTATCTGATCCCATGGGATGATTCCACAATGCAGATGCTACCACAAAGGCGTTGTCCATGTGGTACTCCTGGACCACTAATAGATCACCTGAGTTCTGGTCTTCATCCAGTACAGGAAGGTGTCAAAAAGACCAACATACACTTGCCCTGTGTGATACAGAAAGGCTCACCTTAGGGTGCTCTTCCTGTGTGCTCCCACTGCACAGTGAAGTGAAACACACTGATATTCCCTGTTTCACCCCCGGGCATCAGCCTGAGTTCTCCTGGAACCCCTCCACTCCTCCTTTCCACAGCACTGC